CTCTCGCTCTCTCTCGCTCTCTCTCTCTCTCTCTCTCTCTCTCTCTCCCATGCACTCATACACATACTCATTTGCTGCTTGAGCATTTAAACCTACTGTTACATAGCCCACTCAATGAAGAATTTGTGAAACAGGTCTCCCATCAGCTGACAATTTTTAAGAGGGCAAAACCCTCTGTCCTTCCAACCAAGTAGCAAAAAGCAGTGGCTCTTTCTAAACTGCACTTGACCACATCTTTAATTTCCAGAAAAAACAAGCATATTACTCTGGGAATCTCAAAAAATTGTCACCTTAGCCACACATAAGAACAATAATATACCCATATTTTATTAAAGACACAAAGGGCACAACTGTAGATATCATGGTCTAGAGAGGCAAATCACATTTGTGGTATTTCTGAGGGTCACAAAATGGAACAAAATGGAAAGAGTAGAAGCCCTGGGGACACACAAATATGCATCCTAACTACTGTTTGTGTGATACTTTTGACAAATCACCCAGTGTCCCCAATACCCAAATTGTTCTATAAGAAAAATACCTGCCCAACCAATCAGTGACTTGGAGGGTAAATGAGATGAAATATGCCTTTCTTCCTGCTTCTTATCCACGTTTATAATTATAGACTCACAAACTTGAGACCTTGTCCCAGGTCTGAGTAATACTAACTCAGATGTGCTATGCTTTGTTTCCAAGCAAAAAGAATATCCTATTTGACGATAAAAGGTTTCCATTAAAAACAGAAAGCAGATAAAAGGGGGACCTTCAGCCACAAGGCCTCAGTTGATTCATAAAAACATGGAATGAGTCATGTTGCTCTCAAGGCAGAAACTTATAATCAATGGGCCTCTTTGGTCAGCCAATCCCAGCCCAGCAGAAGATGACAGGCCCAGCAGGCCATCTCCACAAGCTATTCCAATGCAGCCTTGCAAACTGATTAATTCTGCTTCTCACTTGGTGAAAGGAAAAAAATCAATCTGGAGCTCTTTGCCATACTATATTCCTAGTACAAACCGGGTCTCTGTGGTTTTCTGAATAAGCAGGGCTACTGTGTGTGCATGTGTGTGTACATGGGTGCAAACATGCATGTGTGCATGCATGTGTGTATATGTGCATACACATGTGTGTACATATATGTCTGTGTGTACATAAGTATGTGACTCCATTAAAGAGTGGGTTTGTATGTCAGTCTCTGAAAATCACCTCTTTGCTTTCATCTTGAGATTATTTCAAAACATCCCTGCTCCTACTGGCATTTCCTTACAGTTAGCACAAGGCTACTGAATGCAGAAGCTGGAGAACACAGACTTACTCATACTGCAGCTACAGCTCTTTTCTTGAAATTGTAACACTAACAGTTATTCCCTGAATATATCCTTGAATCCTAGGCCTCAATCTTCAGTGTGAATGAAAGTTCTTTAAACACACACACACACACACACACACACACACACACGTGTATAAAAGTGTGTACATAGGTGCATAATATGTTTGATGAGGTTGTTAAAGAAGGGGAGTTATTCATACATTATACTAGGTAGATGGTCTTTCATCAACAAGTAAAGAAAAACGATGACCCCACAACCCTCTTCCAATCTACACCCTCCATCCATTCATCCATCACCACTTACTTAGAATATGTACTGCGCCAGTTATGCTGGGTGCTGGTGATTTATTAGTGAAAGGGGCAGGTAAAATCTCTGTCTGCTGGGATCAATCACCTTGGCTTCCCAAGAGTTAATGAAAAGAATCCCCAGGTTGGCTGAAAGCTTCTCTTATCCTGAATTCCTCCCCTCACCTGAGAAACCTCCAAGCAGTGTTTAAAGTCAAGCAGGACCAGTTTCATATATGAAGAGTTAACCATGGATCATTGCTCACTGCTCCCACCAGCTGCCTCCTAATCTGGCAATAAAACCCGCCTGCTGTCAAGATGGTGAAGGGGCCAAAGGGAACTCTGCATTTTTCTTGCCTTTAGATCAGGTTGCAGATACTGGCTTTCTTTCTCCATCTGCCCCAGGGATGTTTGAGTCAGCTGCTATTTCTATGGAGTAGGGACACCAGAGGCTTAGGAAATCCAACCAACTGCCCTTGTAAGATTCGTGGTTACTATAGAATGCTGAGTCCAGGGAGCAGCTCCTGTCAGTCCCCACTGCACTTGACTTCAGGGGCATGGCGGTGTAATGCCCCCAAGCAGAGAACAGCTTTCACACTTACTACTAGGAATCTCAGCTGGTCTAGACTCCATCTCCCCAGGAGGAATGGGAACAGAGGGTCTCTTAGAGTGTGGGCTCTTTCTGAGAGCCATGCAAGAGTTCCTAAAGAACACCATCTGGTTTTCCCAGCCACCAGGAAAAGCAGGAGACGCAGGGGTGGGGAGTAAGGCTGCATCCCTCACCTTTCACCTAGCTTAGAGGCTGGGGATTTAACCCTCTTGAGTCTCAGTTTCTTTCCTCATGGGGGGTGGGGGTGGAGAAAGGGAGGTACAAGAGTTGGGGGGTGGGGGCAACCAGCCCTGCACCGTTTCCTCAGCCCCATCTGGATACTCAGAGGTGAAAAAAGAGATCAAGTGTCAAGTTCCAGCCAGGTCACTCACTGGCAGTGAGTGAGTGATCTTGGCAGATCACTCATTTCCTCTGAGCCTCCGTTTTCTCACCTCTAAGCCTAGGCACCTGACTCAGGAAGTATTAAACAGGATCGCATATGTAAAACTCAAAAAAAAAAAAAAAAAAAAAACGGCACCGGGAACAATACATATAAGGCGATCGCTATTTTTTAAACCACGTAAAAGACCAATTCCCACCCTTACATCCCTCCCAGTGTTGCAGCTGAGTTGTCCTACAAGAGGGGCACACGCAATCTTTCAGACTTCAAGTCCTGGGAGCCACTCTCCTTCCTGTCACCCTACATCTGATGTGCGGGAAAGGGCCACCTCTGAGATCCTCCTCAGGCTCCACAGGCTTGGGCTGGGAGTGGGGGAGCTCAGAGAGCTAAGTGTGGATGTAGAGAGGGCGCCCGCTGCCTGTGGGTACTGGGTACCTGGGCAACATCTCCAGCCTAGGCTCTCTCCCACCCACTCCCGGAGCGCCCAGCGCGCAAAAGAGAGAAAAACCAGAAAGTCGTGGATACTGGACCAGGCTTTGACGCGGATCTTGAGCTCGCCGTCCTGTGGCTCCGGCATGGCCTTTCTGGAGAGCTTCAGCTTGTTGAGCCCA